GTGTGTGTTTTGTTTTTTTGGTTTTTTTTTTAAATACATTTAGTATTTTTCATGACAACACCTATTAGTTAATAGATCTTAAAACAGTGAGTTAAAAAGCAAACAATAGTACCTGTTTCTCTTAATGAAAATCAAGTCTTCATGTGGTTCTGCTTGTAAGACCCAAATTGCAGATGGTTCATTGTCTTTTTAATCCAAGGGGATCAATTTCAATAGAATAATAAAGGTCCTTCAAATGCTGTAGCTGTCTAATAAACTTCTGTTTACATTCTTGTCATATTTGCTCATATGCTTGAACAGAGAATAATACAATTAGCCCAGGGCCTATTTCTATGTTTTGTTTAATATTGCTCTTCATGTCTTTTGGGAAGTTAAACTTATTGGCAGAAGGTTATGGACTACAACAGCAGTGACTTATCACTGKTTTTTTGTGCTTCTTTTTTTCTGCAGCTGTGTATGAGTGTCATGATAGGTGTGGACTGAATTAGCAGCTTTGGTATACAGCACATTTTCCATCCATGGAAGCACCTTTTTTAACCCAAATATCTGGTGGTCTTTGTGTTGCTGTATGAAGTAAAGATTTCCAGGCATGGCACAGTAATTTATCATACAGGAAATATGTATTAAGGAAATAAACACTTTTCAAAATATTCCACCATGAGCCACTCCTGTACAGCTCTGCTGTATACTTGATTTTCTTTAGGCTTTTGATTTAGGCCAGCATTTATCATATCTACCACAATCAGATGAGAACTGAAGCTTGTCATCTAAGCTCTGCTCCCTAATCAGCTTGTTGAAGAATAGTTCGTTCTCCCCATCTTTAGGTAAGTGTTCAGGCCTTGGTGAGATAAATTACCTTCCAAAGGCATTGTAGAGTTTCTTGCCAATTATTATGCAAATCTATTGTTCAACAAAATTTCTATGTGTTTCATCAGCTATGAACTTGTACGCTACTCTTACATGACTTTCAGATTTTGAAAAGCCCAAACATGAAACTAGTGTCTCTTTAGAGGTTTTTCATGGCATTTCTTGCTGCAATAAAAGCTGAGAGTTTCCTAAAATAAGGTTTGGAAAAAAGACCAAACCCTTAATAGTTTTCCTCAGCATCCAGGAATGAGCTTGACTTATTGTTCCTTACTGTATGGTAAGGTGTGCCTTTGCTTAGTTTGATAGTTCCCAACTCCCTTGCTGGAAACGATAGTGATGATGGTTGCTGTTCGTGACTTTGTCTATCTCGTCATAGACCCCTTAGTTATCTCTTGCTATATCTGAGGAGAACTATTTTTATTACAGAAGTTTCCATTCTGGTTATCTCTGCTGGGACTAGACTCACCCATGATGATAAAAATGCAGGTGAGTTATTGGTTGATTCAGTAACCTGGCATGTTTCATTTCGCTGCAAACTTTTGYATTTTTTTTTCTTAATATATGATTAATTTTCTGACCATTGTTGAGCATGGAACTGACACTTTAGTAGGGCTCTCAATTACTACTCTAAAACCATATTTCTAAGTGACAAGGTCTATTTTATGTATGTAGTTCAGATTGTTTAATAACAATTTTAAATTTACTTGCATTGAATTTCATCTAGTATTTAGCACCCAGTCAGAAGGGTCCTCTGCAGTTCTTTACATTTGACCTTTGTCTTATCTGTCTTGAATAACTTCAACTGCACTTGTTTTTACTTTATAGTTCTTCCCTTTTTAGAGAACTCATAAATGGACTGAACAGCCAGCTACCAATTTTTACCTTTTTTATTCTGTGTGGGCCACAGCAAGTGACTGTTTCTTTCTGCTGTACTTCTGGACAGCTTTTTGTTTACGCTTTCTTGAGTCAAAACATTTCTGATATTTTTCAGTATTTTAAGATCCATTTCAGATATTTTTGCTAGCAATGGTKATATGAAAGTTTTCATTTGTGCTGGCAGTTCCTAGTAAAGTCTGTTTTGGAGGAAGTTTAGTCAGATTTGAATGATATAATTGGGGAAATTCCACTTGTAATGGAAATCTTTCAGTGAGGAAACAGTTTCTGAGTTTAGTTTGCAAGAAACATTACAGATATAGTCTATAATTCTCTCTTGTACATACAGTCAGCATTCTGCGTTCCTTCCTAAGCAGAAGTTATCAACTGCTTCCATGTGTCCTCTTTTTCTTTTTATTACTAAGGCAAGTCAGTTTATTACTTCAACGAAAAAGAAATCCAGAACAAAAAAATTAACCATATAATATTTTTGGCATGTCAGAAAGTGAATTGGTAACATTTAATACCTTTGGATTCTTTGTCATTAGTATGTGAAAAGAAAAAAAAATAGATATGATTTCTTAATGTAGAGAAGGAACACAGAACAAAGAAGCCCCTGTACAATTATACCCTTATGACTTATGCACCTGCCCCTCATGTGCCTTTCATGTGTATCTGGATCCAATCTAGATTTTTGGTCTGGGGTTTCCTTCCACCTTATTGGGTTCTTTCCCTGTGTCTATGCAGGCAGGCTGTTCATCGTTCGTATCTTGAGGAGCTGCAGGTTCTGCTGTCAGCTGTAGTTTCCTCTGGTCTCCTGATTTGTGTTTGTGMCGTATCTGCTCTCTGGCAGAGCACAGGAAACTAAAAACGCCACAGACTTAGGATAAACATTACCTAGCAACAATCAAAGCATCAGTGTGTTATCAATATTCTTGTGCTAAAGACAAAACACAGCATTGTACCCACTACTAGGAATATTACTCAGAAAATTAACTTCATGCCAACCAAATCCATCTCTAAACAAAATTTGGAATCTGTGGGCCTAAGCCTTCAYCTAATCATGCTAGGCAATAAAGCCAGGCAAATGACATAGTAGCCGCATGGTATAATAACTATATGTAACTCGTTCCACTGAAAACTTAGCTGTTTATGTTAAACAACTAATATCTCTCAATATCTATTAAAACTTTCCCAGGGAATCCCAGCTGTTACTTCTTTTAGGCTCTCCTCAGAATGCTTTTCAGACTCTTTCTCACTTTGCAATATGGCTGTTGACTTTCCCCTATTTAAGTACCAACCAGCTTTTTAAAAAGGAAACTCTSTACACTGTTTTGTCAAGATCTGATTTAACTACTTATCTCCTTAGTTGTGTATTATACTTCCAAAATAGGCTATTATTCTTAGATGGGCAGATATGGGTTGGATGGACAGATACTGCWGAAAGCCAAGTGAATGCAAAAAATWCTCCTGTTGTCTAACAAATCAACCAGAAAGTAAACTGTTAGAAATACCTCAGATCATCATTCCTACAAACAGTAATATTTTCTCCAGTTTAACAGGGATTTTCCTGTAGTTTGTAATAATCAGTGTTTAGGCTTGAAATTTCAGCTGCTTGCACCTATTGTATTTACTGGAGAGGTGAGGAAGACTTCCTGAAATCTAAATTGTAGCTCTTCAAAAGAAAAAAAAGGGSAATAAAATTATTTTTTGTTTCTTTTTTTCCCCTTTATTCAACAAGAAAGAAATAATTTCCTTTGTTACTTGACTTTATTATCTTATCAGATGCCACTGCTATATTTATGAATGAAAAGGCATTCTAAACYCTTGGGACAATACATAACAGATCAGAAAAAGATCTTTACTTGGACCTTTAGGTATTACTTTAATAAAATGATAGCCAGGGATCAAATCCCAGCTATGSATGTATTTGTGTCTGACATCTACTGTGTGAAAATGGGGAGTTTCCTGAATTCTCTACAAACTGAAGCTCTCACAGCCACAGGTCTCCACTGGGCATTTTTACAACTGTAATTGCCCATGATGATTACTTAATCACCCTTTTCTAGCCCATTAAAATTCACCATGACTTGCACAGCTACCTGAGTCATTGGGGGAAATCCGATGTAGGACTGTCTCACAGAAATACTGCCTGGTTTTAGCACAGTCCAGTGTCTCACTTGATCACATCAGTCAAAATGCTTCTCATCCTTGGAGAACATGTCAGCATCTTATAAGACCACATATTACTTTTTCTCTGCCTTTAGTGCTGTTTCTGTTAAGTCAAGTGAGTGTGTGATTCACAGTTTTTAACCTCTGTTCTCCTCAGAGACTGACACAACATGGAGGCAGTTTCCAGCACAGCTAATCTAACTTTTTCACCAGCTTCTTTTCCTACTAAGTACCTTTAAAGAATCTTTCCTACTTTGCAGTCTTTGGTCCTCACTGAAGCAGAATTCTGATAAACATAGATTACTCCTGGGATATTTATGCTGTTATACTTCCCTTTACTCCTAGAACTGTGATTGCATGATGACCTATGCCATCATAGTGTTTGAAGCTACCATAGGAAATAACTCATGCAGGGATCATAGTCTTCTACAATTTCCTTGAAGATATATATTCAGCAGAAAATCCTAGTAGAAGAAACCTCTTTCTGTTTAATACCAGTATTTCTGTGATGCTCCAAATTAGTGCATTCCTAGAGAGTTAGTGATTATTGTAACAAAACTCAATTTCATATGCTGGAGGACCACACAGTGTGATAGTTAGATTTTTAATATTTTCAAAGTAATGTGTTTCACATCCTGCACTAAAAATTCTCACTCTCTTTTTCAGTAGTTCTCTTTGGTAGTATCAAAGACTACTTTCAAGTCTCCAGCAGATTTCTAGCTGTCAGTGTCGGCTTATGACAAACCTTTCGGTAGCTTTTCACATCCATCATGTCATCACTAGTGGTGTCCACCTGGTACTATTCATTCCTAATTTGTCTTTGATGTTTTGCTTGGGTTACTATTCCAGCAACCCTTCCTCAGTTTTATTTAAAACTATCATCTGGTATTGGGCATGGCAGGAGGGAGCTCATCTTACTTTTGTAACACTGGCAGCTTATTTGCACCACARACGAATGGAGTTTTATTTATTCATTTAAGCTACTTGACTAAGTTCACCTTTTTGAATTATTTTATTTGGAGTAAAGTAGTAACCTTGAGGTTATAAACTAGACTTTAGGGCTAATACCTTTAAGGTAACTCTGAATTTGGCTTTTGCATCTGTAGCTAAGATTATTGTGTCCTATAGGCTTACATGGTATGTTATCCTGCTTTCCCACCTGGTCACAAGGTTTCACTGTTAAACCATTTTCAGAAGAGCATATGTTGCAAAATTCACTCATAACCTGTCACTTGTCAGAGGTCTGATCTTGCATGATGTGGGTTTGTAATTTACAAACAATATCCATGAAAAACAGAAACATATGAATTGCCATTCCTGCCACTGACCCATGCACCRAACTGCATAGGATGGTAGGTCCAGTCTCACTTGCATTTCTTCATATATAGTGGAAAGTATTTTTGCTCACTTGAAACTTCTGTGTCCAAAGCCACTTTAATATTGCTATCTGGTTCAACAATGAGAAAAAAAAAAAACCCATCAAAAAAGCCCTCACTGAATTTCTGCAAGGAGACAAATTTTATCATTACTATGATGTTAAATTAGCTACCAATTTACTTGTAAAACCTCATCAAATTCAATTTCATCTATGAAAAATAAATGCTGTAATTTGGAAAGGATTGCTGTTTTCCTCACTCATATCTATGTGAAATTGAATCTATTGAGCTTGTGCTTTAACTGCAAAACTGGTGGTTAACTGCATGGATATGTCCATAATTCTATTTGATTGATAAAAGCCATAAATTTATAATGCCTCTACTTGAGCTCAATAATTTAAAATTCAATATATTAATGAGAAATATGGAATTAAAATGATTTGATCAATGCATCATCCCTACACCTAATTTTCCCAGTGCACATTTGAAACAGAGGTAAAATACATGGATTCATTAGGTGATATTGCTTTTCTCCTCTCCTTGAAAAAGCAAGTTCTACTAGTCGGTGTTTTTTAAAACACTTCCTAAGATGGCTATAGGGGAAATTCTCCAGCAGGCTAGGATTTCTCAGCTGTGATTAATCTCTCTGGTGCTCGCTTCTGGAGTTCTGTTTCACATTGTCCCTTCATG